CGTATAGCACTGACCCATGATAAGTTTAACTTAAAACTTAAGAAAAATCAAAGGAGTTGGCTGCTCACGACACACGAGCGTGCAAATAAACACACGCACACACACTCACTAGGGAGTCTGGTAGGAAAAGAGAAATCTGCTGCTCACAACTCTTGGGTACGTAAGTGCACACATATGCACTGACAGACCACTTGGGATTCTGCGGCTCCTGTATACTGTAGCCCAGTGATCAGCAACTAGTGGCCCGCTGGCCAAAACAGGCCCACTGAACTTTCGAATCCAGCCCAGAGCAGGATTCCAAAATCGAGTGTCCGGCCCTCAAGGTGTCTTACCAGAAATGTCTGGGCCTCCTTTAATAAGGGTTCATTTTGAGTTAAGTTTTGCATCCAATTTTCTATATTAATAATTCCAACATTTGGAAACATCTACCTGCTAATGGTCTTTCTGTTTTGTCATATGTAGCAGTGTTTACCTCAATGAATTATTCTGGATAAATCCAAAGCAATCTTGTGAATGATCCGATTAAATATTTTAATGAATTTACTGCATGCTTTTTCATATGGATGTGTTGCTAAGGTAAATATATTTTTTTTTTTAATGTGTTATAAAAACCTAGTTTTTATTTGGGTTGTAAATATATTTAAATCTCACAATTTAGTCACAGTTTAGTTTCCCAGTGGTGCTAAAACTATTTTATTATTATTATAATTGCTGGACCAAAATTTGTTTCACAGTTTATGTCCATTGGCCAATTGTCAACCTGTTGGTACGTTCACTTAGGAGAAACTGAGTATTTGTTTCTATTTCAGTAAGCTTTGATTTGTAGTAGACAATGGTGAACTTTGTTCTCAGTTTGCTGGCACTGACCTTAACCGTTTGACTAAAAACATGCGTTTGTATCAAACTGGAGCCCAAATTCCCAAATGGAGTACTGGGAATAAACAGATGTAAAAATACACAGTAGGAAAAATAATAATGGCCCTGGTGGATTTACCTCCCCTTTACTCTATTCAAACATTATGGACTGAGATATAGAATCTCTCTTTCCTCCCTTTAACTCCCGCCCATCCTCTCTCCCCATGCTCCCTGCACTGTCCATGGCGTTCCTTTCTCCCGTTTGTCCTCATGTGTCACCCAGCCACTACATCATAGATTTCAGAATCCCAGTAAATTGTATTTAGTCTAATTAACTGTAAATTTAAATCTGAACAGTGGCCTCTTATTTAGTAATTATTTCTGTTTAAAGTGGCCTTGATGTCTCGTCCTATTTGAGCTCAGTGTTATCTGCCTAACTCAGTTACCATCTGTCTGCAGACGTTGGTCTGAGGCCAGTTGTCATTCTTTCCCTCGGCCAAGACAGAAATAAAGAGAGGGAGAGAGAGAGGGACCAAAGAGGAAAAAAAAATTCTATCAATCGGTGATAAACTCTGTGTGTGTGTGTGTGTGTAGGGTGAATGTGGCAGTCCAAGCATATGCTAGCTCTGGTATTTGCACTTTCCAAGCATATGCTAGCTCTGGTATTTGCTCGATTGGTAATCAGCCAAACACGCTACAAGTCTCCTGCTGTGATTTGCCCCCCTGGTGTGTCTCCAGTCTAAACGCCTGTGAGTCAGTCAGTGTTTTCCCTATGCCACCGCGTGTGTGTATTGCTACAGTATATATCCTTCATGTACTCATTTCAGTGTGTGTTCACGGGCCAGTACATCAGGGTACTGTATGTCCACATGCGTGGTTTGTGGGAATCTCAGGATTTATTTTTGTTTCCTGTGCCTTCCCGCTGTTCAGGGATACACTCAAACCGAGGTTTACAGCACATGAGTCCACGGCCGTACGCGCTCACAGATGTGTGTTTTCCGTCGGATGGGAATACAACTCCTGGGACATTTAATCTAGAGGGAATTTCACGCTAGTTACTGCTTGTCATCAATCGTTTCTAGCGTAAAATACTGCAGCGATCTTTTATTGGCGGATGTTCAGGACAAATTCACCGTCAGAGCCCCCGAGTCCCCCGCTGCCCTCTTGACAGACAGACTACATGTGCAAAAAAACAAAACAAAATGGAAGACCCTGGGCGTCAGCTGAGGACGTTGTTTTAGATTTGATGCTTTAAGGTTGACACAAATTATTCCGACTCGTTAAATGTATTGGCGTGTGTGAGAGTCTAAAGGGGAAGCTGGTAGCAGAGCTCGTATTTACAAATAAAAGAAAAACACACAAAGAGACAGGTTTACACAGCACTGATATTCATCTGTTTAGACAGCCTAACCAAAGCCTTACTGCTAACGTCAACCGTGACCTGTTAATGCCTGAGCCTAATGCTAACCCAACCACAATTTACATCTTCGTCCTAATATTGACCAGAGACATAAGAATTAGTTTCTGCCTCATTAGGACCAGGATTTGGTACTAATTAGAACTATTGATCCCTAAAAACAGTTTAGTGACCATGCCAGATAGGATCCACAGGAGGTAGCAGAACACACACACACACACACACACACACACACACACAGAGAGAGAGAGAGAAAAACACGTGATCCCAGGCTTATGGAAAGACGGATCCAACTGTACCGTGTCTTCCGTATGTGTTCACTTAGCAAGCCACAGATGTTAGCACCACCGTTAGTACTATGGTTTCCCTCTGTGTGTGTATGTCTTTTGCTGCTTTACTGCCCCATCAACACACACATATGTGCACACACACACACACATCTAAGAGTCCTGTCCAAATGGATTTTAGCAGGACACATATTTTACACCCATCTAAATCGCTCAGATGTCCAGGCTCTTCACTCGTCTTCTAATGCATATCACAGTCTAAGAAATGATGTATTTCCTGCAGCCGTCTTTAACAAAACAAAAAGTAGAAAGAAAAAGGAGGAGCTTCTGACCGTAACCTTAAATGTTGGGACAAAGGAATGTATTTTTTCTGCACGTGTGTCCCACTGTGAAAATGTTAAATCTTTAAGTGGGCACCGAGCAACAAAGAACACATTTGTTTAATAAGATAATCGCTTCACATTTGAGTCTTAATGTCTGGACAGAGAGGTGAATTGTTGTTTTCTGAAGACATCGCAAATGGCATGCTGTCTCTGAAATGTGTTCGCTTGTTTTACCTGACCCACTTGTAGTGTCTATGTGTGTGTGTGTGTGTGTGTGTGTGTACTGTCCCTCTCTGCTAAGAAGGTTGTAAATGTAATCTTAGACACATGTTACTTCAGCTGATGTTTTTCAGATTGATGTCAGTTGTGATTAGCATATCTTCTGCCAAGACACAAGAGTGCTCTTTGGAGTCTCATACACATACACAAAAACACACATACACACATATTCACTGTATACGTAACATGAACTTCTAGTAAACATCCCTTACTGGCCATTTTAAATGATTGTACAATGATGGGGTTTTTTATGTAGTTATTTATTTTGAACCCAGAAAAAAACTGTAGTGAGAAAAGGAGGAAAAATCTCACTGTTCACTCTTCAAATCAAAATTCTACCCTGAGACACTCTCCTCACACCCCTACTCCCCAGCAGCATATTATTACTTCCTGGCCTTTAAAAAAAAACAAAAAAAACACACACACATTTTACCACTCCCCCGCCTTCAAATTTAATGTCAGTCTGTCTGTTTGTTAAAATTACGACTGTAAAGCATGGCGATGTCAGTGCAGCTGTGACCAACAGAAAACGCTTTCATTTACATTCATCCTGTTTTCAGGAATGAAGAAATTTCTCCTCAGTGTAAGACAGTGGAGGAACTGTGCAAAACGAATTTCTTCCCCATCTCTGGAGAGCAAACGGTACAGGGATTCAGAACACACCCCTCAGACAATAAAAGAGGAGGGGGTCCTTTTATTTTTTTTTCTTTTCTCTCCTGTCTCCCCTCTTTTCCCCAGTCTCTCTCCAAACCTCCCTGACCCTGCCTCCTCTTAACCTGCCCAGCAGAGTGAGAGAACAAGTGTAACGTCAACAAGGGACGGAGGGATGCGAAAGACAGGGAAAGAAAGTCAAATAAAAGTAGTTAAAAGAAGAGCCGGCGAGTAGTTGGAGGGCGAGGAGGGGCCTGAAGAAATAACAGAGAGTTATTGACCAAATACTCAGCGACAGAACAAGAGAGGAAGACGGATGCAGAGGGGGGAAAAGAAGGGGGAGAGTAGATGAGAATATATATGTGGTGGCCAGTGTTGTGAGACAAGGCAGGTTGCTGTCACTTTAAAAATGACTGTAATAAAAGTGACCGTCGGAAGATGGATCTGGTGATTTTGGCTTGCTAATCAGTCATCTGTGAAGAGGACCACAGCCCAGATTTAGCGGCAGGCTGACACTTCTTGATTGATGCGTGTGCCTGATAAAAAAGGCCCATTAACTGTCCTCCTATTAAACTGGGTGAAATGGCAAAAAGTGATCTTCTCTCCCACTCTGCTGTTCTTATCTTCCTTTCTTTTCTTTTTCTTTTTTTTTACACCCAATGGCATTTTTAATGTATTTTTTGTAATCACTTTTCCCCTCTCACAGTTACAGTTTTACTGAATTGGGAGTAATGTTAATCAGCGAGGCCTGCTAGTGTTCTGCGTGTGCGCACTTGTTCTCACGTACTGTATTTGAACCGCAGCCTTTCCGCTCAAATCAATAGATCAATAGGTGGCAGAAATCAATGCTGCGTCTGGTACGTGCATCACAGGTTCTTGTTAGGGATGCAAATGAGCGAGTCCCTGCATAGTCAGGAGTGATGTCAGAAAATGTATGACTTCAAGCTTTCTGTTAGCCTCATGACATCCGTCAGAAAAAAAATAATGACCCGCAGCTGAATCTCATATCTCCTCATCTCTCCCTCTCTCACTCTGACACACACACACGCGCACACACACACACACACACAAAGATTGCCTGCAATAATAATAACCCCACAGACGACAGCCTCAGCCCCCCTCTCCTCTACCACCCCCTCATCCCCACTTCACCCCCCCACATACAATCAAACAAAGCCTCTCTCTTACCTTGCGCATGACCAATCCTTCCATCTCTCCCTCCTTTTTTTTCCTCCTCCACCATTCTATCTATGCATGCTCTCTGTAAACCAGCCGAACCACACCTAACTCAAGTAACACCTTGCACTCTCTCTTCCAGCCATCCCACAGCCTACAGCATGGCACTCACGCCCCCCAATAAATACAGTCCAGGTCTGCCGTTTTCCCATCTATCCCTTTTTCCTCTGCCCTGGTCTCCTTTTTCTCCCCTCTCACTCCCTATCTCTCTCACTTTCTCTCTTTCTCTGTCTTTCCCTCTCCCCTCGCTCCTGGCTGGTGTTGGTGAAATATCAGACCAAACGGATTCCAGCTTTTTTCTCTGGCTCAGAGGGGTTGTTCTGTGCGATTTGGCCCTGGGGTGCATTTCAGAGCTTCTCATGTGAGAGAGGGGGCGAGAGAGAGAGAGAGGGAGAAGAAAAAGAGTGTGAGAGAGAGATAGACAGAAAGAGAGACAGGCAGAGAGAGTGAGAGAGCAATGGTGAGAAGGTTGTGTGTGTTTCTGTGTGAAAGTGAGACAGGGGAGAGAGGAACAGACAGAGCAGACACTGCAGGGTTCATCCCTGTCTGTCTTAGGGGCAGTCAGTGGTTTTGACAGCCTTTTGAACCAGCAACTCAAGGTGTGTATGCTCTTGGTAACTTACCGAGGCCTTGAGGTGGTCTCTATACATAATCAGGACAATCCACCTCTGTGACAGGTGTGTGTGACCATCTTGAATTCTTTTGAGACCGTGGATTTCAAGTGTCTCTGTATCGAAGCGCCGCAGCAACCCTGGTACGGAAACCTTAAATAAACGGACAAAATGCCTCTACTGTACCAGCAAACCCGACTGCAGCAGGACACCTGACGAAATGACACATGGTTTAAATTGTATCGACAGATTTAGACTTAACCTGAACACAAAGAAACACACAAATATATATACATATATACATACATATACATATACATATATATATATATATTTGCAGACCTCGTGTGACTGTTGTTATTCTTGTTTTGCTGGGTTTTTTTTTTTGTTGTTGGGTGTTTTGGTTTTATAATCTCACATTTGACTGACTTTTCTTGAAGTATTTGTCATTGTCAGCTGGGCTGATTGCAAATTAAATGTATTTTTAGGTTTCTTTTTTTCCCCCTGCATCCTTTGCGAACCCAGTCAGAATTGAGGTCAGGATACACAAACAGACAAACGCACAAAGGCACAAATTTACACATGCACACACACCGTCTCGGAGAAAGACACATAGCTTTCAGAACAAATCACTGTTGAACTAGCCTGTGTGGAATGATTCTGACATTTTGTTTGGGAAAAATAGCATTTAATTGAAGGGAGGGGCGTCACGGATGGCAGTTATGCAACCAAGGGAAAATGTCTGCATTTCAACTCAAATTGAAAACATAACAGGATTTTTGTTTGTGTGTTACCCTGTGTGTGTGTCTGTTGGTGCTTGTATTTGTTACTTAATAACTACTGGTCTGTTTATGACCTGTAGACTGTCTGGAGACCAAACCCATGTCCTAATAAGGAAGGACCTCTTTTCTCTGGTTCTGGATGATGTTAGAATGAATGTGTTAATTGTATTTATGCTAAAGTTAGATTAGGACCAACCTTAGCATAAAGGTGGTTATTGTTAGGGTTTAAAAAAAAGTTCTGGGATTAGCTTTAAGAAAAATAATTGACTGAGTATTAATGTGTCACTTTACATATTCAGTGCATTTGTTAATTTTTAATTATTAAATATTGTAATAATGATGTTTTACTGAAATCCAATGCATTGTTCATCAGAACATAATTTAATAATTAAGGTTAAATTCGTATTAATAAGATTTTAATTTCTTAAATTAATTAAATGGCCACATTTTGTGCCGTGATATATAAAGTATTAGAATGTGAAAACTACAGGTTTTTTTCATGAGAAACATTTTCTTTGCACAACACATTCAGGTCAGAGGTCAGACTCACCTTCCGAGTGTGTCTGCAGCTGTGTGAGAGGCAGAGAATCACTGTTTTGCTCAATGACACTTTGGCACAGTACATGCTTGCTGAAATTACTGCTTGAACTCTGGTCATCCGGTATAAAGATGGTCACTAGGAAAGGAGGCTGAAGAACCCTCATAAGGACTCTTCTAATGCATTGATGAAGCCAACAAGCATCTTTCAGGGTCACTGCACACCTCAGAAATTGACGCCTCTCCCTCTCTATCTTTGTCTTTCTTTAAACTCTCTTTCGCTCCAAGCATTGCCAATTTGTCTGAGCCGCATCCACTAATCCCTGCGCATTTACGCATTGGTCAGTGCACCTCCGGTTGACTTGGTTGGCTTGATAGATGATGGCGTCCAAGCTAGAGACAGACTGACTGTTTTAGCTCACAGCTGACAGAGTCGGGCGGTGACTCTGGAAGGAGCCACAATGCAAACACATTGGTAGTCTTTTTTTTTTTCTCAAAATAAAAACGCCTTAATTAGAGTTTATGATAATTAAATATTTTGATTGATTTGACTAAATAATGAAAAAATACCGAGATCAGTTTTGGCCTATTTTCAAGTGAAATATTCAGCAACAGAGTGTTGAGTCAAATAAGAAGAAATTGTTAAAATATCCCTTTTTTTCGGTAGCAGCTTCATAGAGATTTAGGCCTATGTCAAAGAGTGGAAAAAGAGAAAAATATACAAAACAAAAAAATCAGAACCATTTTCTGCTCTATATTTAGATGTGAGTCTGACCTGTTCTTGACATTGACCTGGTCTTTTAGGATGACCCCCCTGAGTGTCAGAGGAGAAGGAAAGAGAGGGATGCAGGGTGCATGGATGGATGGACAAATGATGGGGTGAGAAGGTGGAGGGGTGACAGTCCCCCAGAGAGAGGGGGAAATGGGGTGGGGGGTGCTTCTGGAGTTCTAAAAGGACCTCTAGGACCAGTAAATTGACATGTTGGAGCCTGTGGTTTGTCATGAGGGAAGCACTTAACAAAGTCACGTGACAACATACAGTGGTGTTATGAGGTCCTTAAATGTCAGGCCTTCTGTTAGAACCCCAAATTAGGCTTTAAATTTGCCAGAGTGTCTTGTGGATTATTTATATTATTTTTATTATCATATAATTCTCTGCAAATGATTTGGTCTACTGTCAGATTTTTATTTACTAATATATGTGTTTTTGTCTATATAATTATTTTTGCAAAGCCATTAGAATTTGTTTTTAAATATATTTCAATCTTTCTATTAGACTAAAAAATATAAAATACAATTATTACGGTGAAAATAATATTAAGGGGAAAAACGTATTTAACACACCGTTGTAGTTCACCAAAAATAAAACGAGTCCACGTGGTAACATTAGTAATTGTTAATTGTAATTTCATGCCAGTTTTATTACAGCCAAAATTGTTTTAAATATAAACTATTTTGTAATTTAAACAGAAGGTTTGTGTTGTTTTATTTGAAATCTACTGTATTTCACAAATCATTTTTATATTTAATTACGTTATTAATTACATTGCAAATATTATATATTAATTTAATATAAAACATATTTATTCTATATTTACTTACATTATTATTCAAAGATTGTAAAAGCAGGATTGTCGCTTTTTTAACTAATTTAAATTGTTTTAATTAGGACACAATTCTAATTGAAAATCTCTCGGCGTCCTCGCGTGCACGAGTTTCAAACTGATAATCAATATTATTTGGCGTTGTACAGGGCTGAACGTGTTTGTTGTGGGGACACAGGCGGGCGTTTTGGGGGTGTTTTATATTCCCACGTCCATATGTGGACGACACTCTGTGGGCGCGTGTCTATTAAAGAGGGATCAACAATGAAAAAGATCGGAGGACCACAGGGCCAAGTGGGAGGAGGGCAGCAGGGTGAGGTGACACTGAATGGAAACAGCACTAGTGTGTGTGTGTGAAGAAGAGGGGATGTTACAGTGTGTGTTTCGGAGTGTGCAGTTGCAGTTGTGGTGTCGATTTCCTCTCCAGAACCACCCGAGATACTACGGGCGCCGACGTCTGCCCATGCAGGTCCTCACCCTTCTCCCCCGTCATCCCTTACTCCTCCTCCTCCTCCTCCTCTTGTTCCTCCATGTATCTCTCCATGGTTGCCACAACACTTGTTCTTCTCCGGGAGTAATATCAAGCCACAACCTTGCCCCGCCCGCATCTGTGAAAAAGACTTTACAGTCAGGGGGCATCGATTGCTCTTATCAAATAAACAGAGTGGCACCGGCGGCTGCACGACCCTCCACCCTGCAGCCCCACCCCCCTTAATTCCCTTGTCTCCTAATCCCCAACACCGCAACCATCACCTCCTCTCTCCCCTGCTCGAGAGCCCCACCAGCTGTGGTCCCATGTAAATTTTACATGATTGGCACCTCCTTATTTCATGCCTCCCATTCTCTCCTCCTCTTTCAGCCTCTCCTTCTCTTGCATATCATGTTGCATTTAATGCACAGTTTATATAATTGTACATCTGACTATCGTGTCTCTGCACTTCTGTGGAATTTGCATACCTGATTATAGTGTCTGGAAGTGGCTGATTGTTACTGTGGTGAGTGATGCTGAAATGTGATATTTTAGTGTATGGGCGGTTGCGGGACCGAGGCTGGGGAGAGGGCGGGGGAAGGGGGGCGGCGCAGGGTTCCCCTTGACCCTTGAAAAGGCAACGCAATCCGTGTGGCCCCGTTTGATTGGTGCGTTTTTTTCCTTCTGTCTAATTGTTGTCATCAGGACTTGCACTATCACTGTGCATCTGGAAGCACTTTGACATCTGAAGTCTGCGGTTTCCCCCGTCATGAAAAGCAGGGGTGCAAGAATCCCCCAAAGGTCTGGCGAGGGGCCACGCAGGGGGTCTGGAAGTGCAGAGAGACGAACTGTTTAATCACACTGTGATTTCATTAACCTGAAATTATTCCACTTAGAAACATGTCTGGATAAAAAAAATCACAATGATTTCATAAATATCACACGGGGAACTTAATCCCGGGGACAGACCCCTAATTAATATGGACCCTCGGAATTATGGGCTGGTCCGCTTAGGGCTCCTTGATATGAAAATGTTGGAGAAGCCCAGATCTAAGTGAGTGAGGCAAAAGGTTGCATTGACAGTCTTAGGTTTTTATCCCAGGCACTACAAGAACTCCTTTTTTCCTCCGTTCAGACCCCCCTCCACCACCCACCACCTTTTCTCTCTCTCTCTCCCTCTCTCTCGCTTTCTCTTTAAAAGGGAGCGGAAGAGTGGGCTGATACCGGGCTCATGTTTCGTATGGATTTTCGTTTATATAATCGATCGAAATGTCCCAATACATTGATTTTGGGTTCAGTGTTTTACAGACAAGCGTTTATGGGTCTCGATTTTGTGTTAGGGATGATTCCAGTGCGCCATCGACGCGCACAGGAGTCAGTTGTTGATTTTTAAATAAATGGTCTAAACACACTGAGGAAAAAAGAAAACAAAAACATCAATTGTTTTATGTGTTAAAAAAACATATAAAAGCCTGACTCTGAAAGAGGGGAAAGGCAAATGAAAAGAATGAAAAGTGAGTAAAAAGTGACAATAGTGTGCTGCTTCTCTCCTTAATCAAATAAAGTGGTGTAAAAACACACACACACACACGCAGACATACACACACAAAACATTTCCTTCCCTCTGAATTTCTCCTTGAATTATATGCCATCACTAGTGTGTGTGATTGCGGAATATTAAATTAAAGTGGGATAAGTCCGCACCGAGGCGGGCTGCGTCCAATCCGCAACTCATTTCCCCTGTTGTAGCACCGCATCACTGCGCTCCTCTCTTTTCAATGACAATGTGCCAAATCTGGGCATTTTGAAAACACTTTCCATATGCTATTATCGGATCGCTACTGAGCAAGAGAAAGACAGAAAAGAAGAAAAACGGAATGCTTTATACCAAAGGTACCGACTCTACATTTTATGTATTTTATTTTTCTCTTTTCTCACTGTTTTTTCTGACTTTGTGCTTTGGGTTAGGGATTTAAATGAGATAAGAGGTGGCGAATTTTGAAGTTTTTTTTATATATAACGATTGCATATTTATGGACAGTTGTTGGATCGCTTCAGGGCTGTATGTGAAAACGTCGATAGAGTTTATGTTGAGCACCTTTATGCATAAACTGTCACTTTTCTCCCTGTTTTTTTACTTTATGTTCCTTTTTATTGTTTGAGAGTAAATTGTTTTTGTTTTTTGTCCTCTTCTGGGTTTGCTGAATTGAGACAAAAGAGCATTTAAAAGGCATTACTTTGCTGAAATCACCCTTCAAATTCTAAGTTTTTATTTCTTACTCACAATTTTACTGGTTTTACTCTTACGTTTGACTCAGTCACTGAGCACTTGAAATTGATGTTGCGTTTAGAGGATTTCTGAGATGTCTTTTTCTTTTATTGCTGGAGTTAAAATTGATGTTTCAAATTTTGTACAAATTTTGCATGGTTGTTTTTTTTAAAAAAATTCCCCTTTTTGGAGCTTTTACTCTTGGAAAAAAAATTAGATGAGATTTATGGGCACGAAGCGTTGAAGAAGTTGGACTTTACTCTTTATTTATTGGCTGTTTTATTGGGCCCTTCACACAGCTGTGTGCATGTGTTTGCTGGAGGTGAGTTGGCCACTGGGTCACTGTGGCAGGTTGCGGTCGGAGCTCAGGGTTTTTTTGCGTGCTTTTGTCCTGCTGAGGCAGAGGGGTCAGCCGTGCAACCCCATGAGGGCGCCGATGCATCGGACAAACGAGGTGGCTGTACATGTGCAGACGCAGTGGTCGTGCATTGAACCTAGTGGCCGTTTGCTGTGGATATCATCTAAATGTGCTTGTAAAAAATGATGGCAAGAAATAATAACTGTAACTATCAACTCTGCTTTTACTTAGACGTATCGAACATAGTGATGTGCCGATATCGGTGTCGTCCCTTGCATCCCCTAGTGTGTCAATCCAATATGGTAATATCTCCTGACAATTCACTTATTGATCCACTGAAGTGGCATAAGATCACTAGGAGAATTCAGTGCTGCTTTACAAACGCCGCTCCATTATTGGAGAATAAAACAAATACGTTGTGTTTTTAATTTTTTGATAATTAATATGCAGTTTGAAATGAATTTGAGTCACTCTGTTTGGTGCCATAATTATGTTTACTATCGCATTTTCACAACACAAACACTCTCTCTTTCGATCTCTCCCTCTCTCTTTCGCTCTCTCATACACACACACACTCACACACACACAAACATGCAGAAGCCGCACATTGACACCACACCGGAGTTTACTGATAAAAATCTATAATTAATTGAGGATGCTGCTGATATGGAAATGGGGCGAAATATTAGTTAACGCGGTCTATTGTGGAGCGGCTCTCCGGAGAAAGAGCATCGTCTGCAGGGAAGGAGGGAGGATGGAGATCGGCTGGTGGGGGATTTACAAAACGCAGGAGGTTAAAGATAAGACGTAGCCTATATATCACCTCTCCAAATCCGCTTTGTGCTTTTGTCGTTTTCACTGGAAACAAGTCATGATGCGAATAAAAAAAAGACGGACGAAACTTCGCCGCAAATGTGAGAAAATGACGTCGCAACAAAAGTGGAAAACACGTACATCCATTTATAAAGAAAAAAAACTCTCGTGTTAAACAAAACAAAAAAAAAAAAAAAATCGCGTTTGTTGTGTTTTTCTATGTCCTTCGATTGTCTCTACAAATCGCAAGTGAGAAATAAGTCCATTCTCCACGAACTCGTCCCGGTTGACTGTGTGCGCCTCTGCTGCAGCAGCGGAAGGAGTCAGCTCTCCAAGCCGTCCGTGAGCGTCGCCTCCCAGGGTTGACAGGCTGGAAAACCCCCCTGGAGGACACGGAGGCAGCTGCAGCAGTAGCGGCAGCAGCAGCAGGAGCCTTGGATCCGGGTGAAAAGTGACGCCTCTGTTCCTCACCTCGACCCACCCACCCCCTTTGTCAGAGACCTCTCTAAACCCAGAACAAACAGCTTTGGGTCGGGTCGGGATCGGATCTCGTGGCTTCTTTTAGGATCCAGTTCTTACGGGTTGCACTGTGCAGTCAGTGTGGCTGCAGTTCACTTGCCAGCAGCAGCAGCAGCAGCAGCAGCCTTATAATCACATCCCAAGCCCGGGCTCATGAAGTTCAATTCACCCCCAGCTTCGATTTTTTTCCATGAAGGCGAACAAGATCTCTTGATTTTGTCCCCGATTGAGACTCTGTAAAGTCTTCCTCTTGTCCAAAAGCCACTATAAAAACTGGGGAGGGAAACACAGTAAACGGTTTGCATTGAATGGATATAGGGGCCAACAGAGCGATGCACTTTCTAAAGGACACTAAATGTAAACGCTGGTGAATGGAGCTTTGAATAGAGAGGGGAATTTTTATGTGACCTTGCATTGAATTTTTGCAGTTTGGCTCTATTAAACCCTCTCGGGGCCTCAGTGGTCCCGAAAGGGCACTGATGAGTTTCCAACATGTGGTGGATTACTGTGATGTTCTGTGGCTCTGATATTTTGTTTCCCTGTAAAGCTTGGATGTTTACATGTAGCATATGTGTAACAGATCAGCTGCAATCTTCTGATCGGCATCAAAACCTCTTGGAGAATCCAAACATGGTTGTGTAAAAACCGTGATGATACCACGTGTTTTTATATGTGCCTTTGTTTTTGCATATGAATAATATTTTGTATAAAATCTTGACTTCAAAAATATGACTGCTCCTCCAGACACAACATGTTGTGTCCCTGTGGTTTGGATTCTCTCTCTCTCAGGCATCTGTTTATTCACACTATTGACACATGCATACAGTTTAAAATATATGTTATTTAAACCCAAACATATTTCATTCAATTACATATGACTCGTTATTTCGTGCAGATTCACGCGAGCACATTTATTGTTATTGTTGTTGTTGTTTTGTTCTATCATTTCTACAAATGTAAAGACTGCAGCTTGAACGCGTCTGAAGAAAGGTAATTTTCTCGGTGTCATAATCAATAAAAATCAAATAAATATAACACATAAATAAACACCACTCATAGAAGGCACACTTGTTATTTTGTGATTTATTTTTCTTTTATCAAACTCGGTATAATGGATCGGCGTGCGTACATCATAAGCCACAGTTCACACATTTTCTGCTGCAAAAGTTGTGTTTAAGAAAGGCAGAAAAAAGGTGATTTCTAAGCACTTCGAGAGTCCAGGCTGTCTGCTGTCCATTGTTCTACATGTGATCTGGCCCGCAGAGAGCCAGCATACAAAGGGATTTTTCTGCGTGCATAGACCTCTGCGGCCGCCAGGCCTCCGTGTGCGCGTCATTTGCAATGTGGAGACTGTTGATCAACTCACTAATTACACTTCTCTCCTCTCTCTCCCTCCCTCTCTGCTCCCTTTTGCTCCCTCCCTCTCTCTCTCTCTCATTCGTCCTCTCTCTCTCTCTACCCATTCCCAGAGTGCATATCGGGAAATAGACACACAAAGACATGCGCACTCAACTTAATCAGCCATTTTTTTAAACAGGGCTAAAACGATAATAATTAGCAGAATAAAGACATATCGGATTTTCATTTCCTTTCCTCCGTTTCACGAACCCCGTCCACAAGAGAAACTGCGAGGCAGCCCGTCGACACGTCCTTTCTCCGCCACCGGAACCAAAATAAGGGATAGCTCTCCAAACGCTTGACATTTGTGATTTTACCTTCTTCCCAACATAAAGTTGGAGGATTATTGTAATTTTACCTGTTTTTCCACGTTTTGATTTTCCAAATACAAATCCGCTGGATGTGACTGTTTTAAAAAGCAAGAGCAGAGACAGGAGCGGAGGTGACGGCTTTGGTGGGGGAAGAAAGTAAGTTTTTTTTTCCCGTTCCTTTAACTTTTATTGAGTAGTTTGGGATGTGTGTGTGTTAAATTTAGGGGTCGGTTATCGATTATCTATCTCGCTGCTGGATCTTTGACTCCGAGGCTGTTTGGATAGCAGGTGCTGGCTGCTTTTAGTCCAGAATAAAAACGGATATCGTGATGTTACGCTGCAACTACGGCGCATCGGCTACAATAAACCCACGGACTGACAGGGTCGGAGGCGTTCTTTGCGCGTGTCCGCGCTGCTGCACCAGGATATCGCGTCCAGATCTGCCTTTTTGCCAAAGTTTATGCCATTCTTATTGGGGTTGTTGGGTGGCCAGTTCCAGAGAAAGAGTCCCTGTTGCAATGCAACCAAGCGACACGAGCGTTTTGCCCCCTTTTGTGGCTTTAGCGTGCGGACATGGTGTTGCTTTCCCCGGACATGTCCGCTTTGGGCTTGTTTCTTTCGGGTTGTCCGGCTCCATACCCCACTGTCCACCTCTTCATTACTTATTTTAACCCGAAATACTCAGATCTATAAAGCAAATACATCCTCTCGGTTCACCACTGCGCTCAAAGCTATTTTTTTTAAACCGCACCTGATTTAACGCACCTTCCAGCCAAAGTGAGGCGAGCAGTCTCCGGACACGATCCCATACTGGGTAATACGCGAAAATAGTCGAAATAACGCCCCGAGTCAAAACCGTTATTCGGAAAGCGGACAATCATCGGTAATAGTCAGTACACCGTTACCTGCTGCGCTTCAAAACTACTCCGACTTTACCGAGGCGTGGGTGGCTGCGTTGTCCGGAAGGAAGAGCGAGCGCTGGGCTACTGATAGCATGGCGAGTCCCTCTAGAGCCATCCAGCTCCTGGGTCCCCTGTTTTTAATCGCCAGCACTAGAATACAGCTAAAACTAACACTTTAGGCAGATTTTATGACATTAACACATTTTAATCCCTCACAGCCTTTAAGTGACATTTCCATTATCGGTTCCCATCCGCTTCGGTGACTTCATTATTTCCTCGTAGTAATGTCTCAAATCCCAGAGATACTGGTGAAAACATAGGGTCGAAGTTGAGGGTTAGTGTTTTTTTGTGACATTCGGGGGAAACGGACCTCAGTGAGGGCTTCTGGAGTATTTTACGCACTGATGGCTGTTTTGTAGGAGTGTAGATAGACTTGGCCCAAATTGGGACGCGACAGTGACAGTGGCATCGATCGCACGGTAGAAAAAAAAACAAAACAAAAAAAACATCAGGGCCAAGGGGCCAGTCTGTCTCCAGCTCGGGTAGCCTGTGTAACGGTGTAGTGAGTGTGTGCCTGGAGGGAATGTATACGCTCCAAATGAACGGTGCGACCATATAGGAGCGACCTTTTGATAGGACTCGTTTGAGCACGGCTTTCTGGCTCTTTGTGCGGATTAAGCACCGAAAATAACCCCCCTCGTTTCTTATTTCCTTTACTTTTAAACTTACGATTTGTATGATTGAATCCATTTTGAACCAATGTAATGGAATTATTTGTGGAATCTGGTGAAAGAAAAAAACAACGTTTGAACTGTATTTTTGTTACCATTATTGTTATTTTATTTTATTAAATTTGAATATTATTTTTAAAATATTTAATCTAACTATAAACGTATATTTTTTTTGTTCAAATTAAATTCAGTCAGATAATATGTATGTTTTGTTGAACTGTAAACACTTAATGTTTTTCTTTGGTCTGGACAAACCTGTTTCACTAAGACAATGTAACTGCATTTCCATACACTCTAATTTAATACAATAATGATAGTTATAATAAAAATTTAAATAATTTTTTGGGGACTTTATTTTTTTAATGTTGTTCACATGCTCTACCACTTTTAACACCGTCTTTGGCTGTGTGTGTGTGTGTGTGTTTGTATTGGTGCATGTTAGTTAAGCAGCTTGCAACATTAATTTCATCCAATGCGGTAGAGGAGAGGAGTTAAAAAAAAAAAACATATAGTGTGAGAGATGGCCAGATAGCCCTAGGAGGACAATAGCCGTTGGCTTGAAAATGCTTCTTGATTATTAAAAGCTAATGCATTTTCAGCATTGCAGCCTTCATTAAGGGTGCGGATGGAGGCGGGGGTGAGTGGGATGAGAGGCTACTGGGAGGAAGAGAGGATGGGAGAGAGAGAGAGGGGGGGAGAGAGACAGGGGCTGAATCTGTCCTATAACTCCTGGGCCCAAGACACATGCAGCTAGAAGATTGGCTCGGGCTTCTCCTAGGGGTCGACAATGTGTCATTTCCACCCGGCTAGATTGCCCTCTGCCTATCTGATATTAATGTGCAAATCAATATTTCAAGGATTAAATTTCCCTTCTTCATTTTTTATGGTTTCTACCTCAATAAGTCTCCCGTCTAATAGAGGAGGCTGGATGATTTAGAAGCTTTTGCTGCAGAAAGAGAGAGAGAGCGACAGAAAGAAATAGAGGGGAGCTTTGCAACAAGGCTATCGCTGCATTTTAATGTTCTTCTTCATGGATCCCCCGTAGGCCCTTGGTAAGGAGGGCTATATTGCTGGTTTACAGTGTAAAGACAGCCAATTTAGGCAAAAAGGCAGAAAGGAAAAAATATGAGTCCGGTTGAATACTTAAGACGCTGTTGTAATCCGAGTAGCAGGTATTAGTGAACCGGGAGCTTCCCCCTCAAAGACACAAATACGTACAGAGAGCTACATCCAAACCTGCATTACCAGCCGTCATGCTTGAACGGACAGTGTAGCTTATTGCAGCCTGGACGGCTTTAACACTGTATTTTTTCATCTTTAACTCAATTTCACTTTTTTTTTTTTACATGTAGGAGCCCGTTGAAATTTGTCGGAGAGATTTACTCTCTTGTGGAATAACATCTGGTGTATGTGTGTTATAGAAATGAATCACTCTGACACAATGACCTGTGTATGACTATTGGGGAGTGTATTACCATAGTCATAATGCTGCATCTCATTGAAAGTCAACCAAATGAGCTTGGACCCTTTGACTCCCTATAGACATTCATTAAGGGACAGTGTGTATACACACACACACACACACACACACACACACACTCAGAGGCGTCTGTCTGCCAGTAGGTGTGTGTCTGTGCATGTGTGTTTATTTAATCCTCCTTCCTGTACCATCTGGTGTGTCTGTATGCATGTGTGTATGCGTGTCCAGCAGCAGCAGCAGCACAGTGTGAATTTCTCTCCTCTCAGCCACCAAATCGCCCCCCCTCCCTCCCAAATTCAGCCTGTGCAGCAGAACAGAGCAGACTGTTTTAACATACTTGTGATATGGAGAGTGTCAGCGAGCGAAAACAAGAAAAGAGAGGGAGAAAGAGACAGAGGAAGAGGCACAAAAGATCTCTAATTGTAGCTCGACCGCTTGGCTTCCTCCCTGATTCACGGCCATTACGATGTGAAAAGCACAACTGCCTGTCCTCCATTATTAAAACGGCAGGCCTAAGCACACTCTCTCGTCCATACACGCACACTCACTAGGGGGAATCATGTAGATTTTTTTTTTGTCTCTCGACTGTGACTGAAAAATGTCTGCTATCATCCTGGTCACCCACTTTAAAAACTGATTCTGTTTTAAAGATATTCAGACATTTTCACCCACATTAATTTAAGTTAGTTTGTTTAATCTTTGACAGTATAGCTATAATTTCTATAAAGGCAAAAAAACATGTCAAAACAATAATATTCAATTTTGATGGACGAAGTTGTCACTTAACCTCTCTCTATATATGTGTATATATATTTATATATATATACTTTTATTTTCCTAACAAAAAATCTATTATGCAACTGTATTTGCCATGTCGCCAAGTAGATATCTAAGAGTCAAATTTTCCCGAGGTTTGATATGCTTTTGGTGATCTAGTGTTATTGTGTGTATGTGTGTGTGTGGGTGTTCATAAAGAGCTGACAGCATGCACTAGTCGTGTTGGGGTCTCCTGGCTCACAGAGGCCTGTAGGGGGAGAAGCTAAGAAGTCCACAGCAGCTCAGCATTATGTCTCAAAGAGGGGGGGCTTCCTGTGTCAACCCTGGGGCGCAGCAGCTAACACACACTTTCTCTCCATCACACACAGCGGGCGAAAGGCGGAGGAGGGTTAAAGACTTGGAACGAGATCAAGCCCCTCCGTAGCTCCCGGGGAGGGAGCTTGTGAATATGCGAGTTTTAGTGTAATTAGCACTTAATTATATTAACATATGCAAATTGTCAGGCGTAGAGCTTGTACAGCCAGTGGGTATCGGTGGAGGTACAAGTGACTCTATTGTACCGCCACAGCAGAAAAGAGAATAATGGGTGGGTGTAAAGCAACCAGTCAGAGAGTCAACCCCCGGTGCTAGCACATAACCAGCTAGCTTATTTAAGTCTCTGGCTGGCAGCTTTGCCAAATTTCATTAGTAGCCATGACGACTTGGCTAATTGTGCTGACTAATGTGCCCTGATCTGTTGTCAGTTGACAGGCGTGGGTGTGCATCTTATGCCCCTAAAACAAGAATGGGGAGAGAGACAGACCCAATTGTCCCGATTAATCCAGCACACGTTAACTCCCATTTAAACACATTTTTCCTGTAAGAGTATTTGCATATGCAAAAATACATCCCAATCTTTCTTTGTCTCCTTGGTTAGTGTTTGCATGCGCGCACCTGCGTTGACAAGGTTGCGAGCATGTGGCTGCAATGTGTTGGAGGGCAATGACAACAGTTGAGCTGTGAGCTGCGTGTTTCAGTCTAAGTGTGTCGTGTGTGTAATGCGCTGCTGCCTGTGAAGCAGAACTTGGACTGTGCGGCTGGTATGGCCATGTGTAGCGACATGGTTGAATTTGTTTTTGATTATTGTACAAGACTGTGATTCTGGCAAAGAAAAGCCTGGGCCTGACTAACAGGGACAAGGAGTTGTGCTTTAGAAAGTTCCATTCTTCTATTATTCCACATAGAAATATGTAATTTGGACACATCATTATAGTTACCCCCAACCAGGCAGCAGGGCTCCTTTTTTATTATTCTTGGAGGCAATGGGGGTGTTTAATGTTGTGTACTTCCCTCTAGCTAAAGGTGGATAGAGATTGGGCATAGTTGGTGCTACTCGTACTTGCATGCTAATCCTGTTTTTTGACAGGAACGTAAACTGATATAATTGCTTTTCAGAGGCAGGAATGGCAGTTTATACAAGTGTGAAAGCACGGGAAAGGGGATTAGCATTATTTTGCATAATGCTGGGCAGGCGCTGAATGGGGCATTGAACGCTTGACTGGGTGACATAGATGAAAGAGAGATGAAATGCTTCACCCCTCTTCTTTTTCCTCCCTCCCTCTCTTCTATTTCTCCCCTCTGGTCTCTCCTCCTCTGGTCACTGCTGCCGATAGAGAACTGTGTTTTTGGGAGAGAACCTCGGAAGCACTGTGTTGTGATGCAGGCAGATGGGAGGTGTGAAGCAATATGGATGATAATAGAGTCGCTGTGGTACCCTACAGGTACCCGTAGGTTTACAAATACATATATATATATATATATATATATATATACACACATATGTACTAGACTACCTAAAACACTGAAGTGTACAATTATGTAGTAGGATGGAGGTGGCTTAGGCAGCTTTTACATGGAAGGAAGGGTGCGGCTGTCGTGGATCAAATCTAACTACACAGTTCCTACCTTTTCCTTTATTGAGATGTTTACTAAGGCTTTGGTTGGATATCGTCTGGATAGAGGGAAATGTGGAGCTGCACGGCAGGTGTGTTTTAATGTGAATGCCTGCATGTGTGTATAAGCTTTGCTGATAGAGGGAGGTGGGCGCACCGGGACTGGTGACACAGCTTAAAATTGCCACTGTGACTTCCATATGACCCAAATCGACTTTGTGCGTAATTTATGATCAACCGTCATTATTGTTATTGCATCTGGTGTATGGAAATGATCCAGGGTTGAGGGAGGGGCATGAGGTCGGGTGGTGGAGAACACGAACGCCACAAAGGCTAGTATGGCCTGTTTTTGTTTTCTCTCATTGGACAGGATCCTCTTTCTTTGACCTTTTGCACGCCTTCCCTTGCCTTTCATATGCTAATGCCGGCCAGATCCGAGGAGGAAACATGCTGAAGCTGAGTGGAAGAGGACAAAGACTCCTCTCTCTCTTTCTCTGCCTCCTTTCCACGCCATATCTCCTCTTTTCTTGCCTCTTCCACTCTCGACCAACTTGACAGACTTTGGCATGAAAGGAAGTGAGTGCTCGGTGGATAGCAAAGGTGGGGACGGCATTGTTGGCGTGACCCACACCACCTGTGAGGATCAAGTGCACTGCAGAAATCCTTGGTCATGTTTATGTGGACGCATTTTGAGTGGCCCTTGTAGTGGGTATTGCAGATCGGTAATCGTTTGGAGCCGTGCCGCCAGTGGTGTTGTAGCTGAAGCCGAGTCAGTTTTGGAGTGATTTGTTGCTTTCCCAGAGCAGCTAGTGAAGTTGTCATAGAGGGCCTCTATTTGCTCCCAGTTTCTCTCAGACCTGCCAACTCTGTCGTCCTACAACCGGTAAAGTAGTGTCTCTAGTGGGGTAAAAGGATACCAATATAGCAACTACAACTCTCCCCTAACATAATGCTCCAGTGAACCACTGCAGAGCATGACGTGGTTTTGAGGCTCTTTCTGCTGTGTTATGGGAAGGGGGCATGTTATCTGTAGGAAATGTAATTTTTGTCCTCATTGAAATAATTCATTATTGAGCTTGGTTATCTAAATGTTTTTGTTGCCGTTGGTCCAGCGCCAGTAGGGATTGCATTTCTCTTCTCCTACTCCCTCTCTCTCCCATGTTTTCATGTCTGTCTTTCTCTCTCTCTCCCTCACTCTCTCTCTCCGTCTCACATCTCGCCAGGCCTGCATTGGTCTCTTAAGGGAAAATAGAAAGAGGGGAATTTTCTCTTCCCTCTGTGCTCTGTCCTGTTCTCAGGCTCTACTGCCTATTTTGCATCAGCCATCTCATACAGGATATTAGCCAAAGGAAAAAAAACAGGGGTCAGGGTATTTCAATTAGAATAATATGTTTATTCTTTTCATTTCAAAGTCGGGGATTCTGTAGGGTGGGGACAGAACAGTTGGAGCCGTGTGTTCGAGGACTGTGTGTTTGATGTGAGGTTCTGTTGGCTCTGGGTGTGCCTGTGAAACTCAGGTTAGGGTCAAATAAAACAGGATGGTGAAAACACAAGGCCATTCCACAGCATGTCTCCCATACTGTCATACATTTTTGTTTCTCTCTCTCTCGCTCTCTCTCTCAGTATGTATCATTTAAATTACTTTTTTAAAAGCTAGATAGAGACAGATATTTAAAGCACAGCTATTATTAATTCCTGAAAATTTATTTCATTTGTGATGCTGCAGTTACCTTTCAGACTGTGACATTTGTTTGTCCTCTACACCCCTTAATGCAGTCACTGTGAAGGACAATCCCTCAGCTCCGCAGCTCAGTGTGAGTGCCTCAAACCCTCACTCTACATATTCGACACAGAATTCAGCAGCCTTTTGTTTTAGAAAATCTTTGTCCCTCTTGTACTTGCTAACAAAATAGTGCACCACACAAAAAGGTTATATGCCACGTTTTATCGATTGCTACCAGAAGCATTTTTCTACCTGTACCTGTAAAAGCTGGCAAGGCCAAAAGAGAAAAGCTGCAAAAAGACATCCCACTACCTGATGTGAACTGAAGTTAAAAGCAGGCTGAGTAAAGACGAGAGGGAGAAAAGTTAAAGGATGACTAAATTTGTCCAGGTCTGAGGAAAGATAGCACAATAGCACAAGGCGCCTCATGACAAATGATGCATTCTCTCTCTCGCTGGCCAAAGACAAAGGCAGGGATTGAGGAGGCAGCGAGCCAAGTCACAGGATATATGCACATTAACAGACCTTTAGGAGAAGTGAGGAGATAATAGACCAACTCTGTACATCTGTAAGAAACAGTGATATAATGAAATATTCTATTACAGCACGGGTCTCTGTCTGCATGTACATGTTCTGTATGCAGCATGATTGACATGTGGTAGTCCTGTAGGCGATTGCATGTGGATTTCAAGGCCACTGGCAGAGCTCATTGTGAGGAATAAGTGGCTAATTAATTATGTATGAGTTGTGGCCATAAACAAACAGTGTAATGAGAGATGAGACAGATTTAATAAAGAAAGTGACTCCAGTTGTAGGAAGACCTCCCCAGTCATCCTGTATATTATTATTATTATTATTATAGCTGATGTAATCCACATACAATCAGACTCATTATATTTATTTATATTATATATTTCCTTATTCTCTTTTGTCATGTCACACATACGTATGTGTACTATATTAAAACAAAAACCTATTTCTTTCCAATGTAGGTCTCAGTCTCATCTAATATAGGCAAAAAAGCATGTGTTTCCTCATCTCCCCAGAGAGAACTCCAGCCAACACCATCCCTCTCAATCCTTGCTTCTTCTTTCTGGCTTGGCATCAGCCGTGGAATAATCTTTAATTATTTGCTTTTAAAAGAAAAAAATAAGACCCCCTCCCCCCTTTTTTCCCCGTGACAGAAAAGAAGAAGAGCAGAGCAGGCGCAGGAATGTTCTTGTATATGAAATTGTAGGTATTAACAGCTCTGGTTTTGTCAGTGGTTTTTCGCTGATGTATCAGCTCCCTGCTTCTAGACTAAATAAAGAGGGGAGTTTTGCCGTGTTTCATCGCGGCTGAGATGTGCAGATATAGGAAGGCTTTGGAGGAATAGTTAAAAAAGCAAATGAAACAGACCTCTGCTTTAACACAATACTTGAACAGGGTTTAAGATGTGCTGATGGACATATCTTAATCGAGACACTGGATGTGAACTTTGTGCCAGAGCAAAGGAAAACACACAAACACAAATCTATCTGTATGTATATACACACAAAGGCCAGAACATCATGTTTAGAATTCACCAGTCACACTTTTGTCTGTTGAATATTCCATTAAATATTCACTAAAAGGTAAAATGTTGCCATTTTTATACAATAAACAAGAAGGAAATTTGTCCATTTGGATCCAGTGTCCTGTCTACAGAAGGGCTGGATTTGCGTGACATGCTACAATTGTTTGTTTTTTTACATTCTGTTAAAGGAATATTCATGCGCTAATCTAAAACCCCAGCTAATTACATCTGACAGTTGTTTGTTTGTAGTGAAATCCAATTAAAATGTACACTTTTCAACTCCATTGCTCATTTCTCTCCCTGCACCCCCCCTCCCTCCCACGGTAACTAGAAAAAGAGCCCATGATGGCATAAATAACAACTGTGCTTTCCTTGTGGTTTTTGTGAGAAGAGGGCAAACTCACAACAGCTGTCAGAAAAGAGGGGTTTGTTTAAAAAGCAAATGGCTTTGGTCTAAAGTTCATTTGGAGACCTCTCTAATTAAATAGAGAGCCAAAAGCTTAAGTTAATTAGTAATTCCCTGGGTCCAGAAATTAGACCTGTCACGAGTGTTTCGAGCTCTCGGAAAACTGTAAGGTATGTGCACATTTGTGTTTCCTATGTTTTTTCCCCCCTATATATCTCCTGTGCCTGCTCGTATCTCAGTAAACAAGTGTACCTAAATGTGCGTTTAACCCTTTTTTTTTTTTTTTTTTTTTTTTTATGCAAGTCTCTGACAGTTCCCTGCTGTGAAATGTTGGAGACATTAATGGCCTGTTTGTGGCGTGTTACAGAAGTGCTCAGGAGATGTTTGAGTGAGAGGCACATAGCTTGTGGCGTCAGTCAGGATACCTGCCCTATGATTACGTTTATGAAGATAATGACAGGGCTGGGGTCGTGCTGAGTACTGTCTTTAAAAAAACAGTTGGGGTTTGAACTTTAAACCTCATTGTTACCCCTGCAGAAGAACATAAAGTTTTGGTCAGAAGGGTTGAGAAATGTGTGTACAATTAGCAAGGTGTCTCTGAATCAAGGCTGAAAAACAATAAAAGCTGATGTTTGTCTTTCTGTGTAAATGAACCTGACCAGCTGACTCTGCCACAATTCAATGTTCCTGCCCGTGCAGACGACAGTCATACGATCACTAGCCTTTGAGACGAGCAGTTACAACACAGATGTGGGGCAATGCATTGACTTGCACTGTAAACGTTCTTCAGCAGCTGTGCCAACAGCTTGTTTTTAGTCAACTGACACTGATAGGCATCTTTTTCCAAATAGGGCAACATTTGTGACATTTTTTCCCCCTTTCCCAAAAAAGGAATCACTTTTGGCAGCAAGTAGCAGGAGTTGTTACACGACTTTGACTCTCAGCTATCAGCAGGACTCTCTGCTCTTGCAAAACCGATTCTTATGCCGGTAACAATCGTACCTGTGATTAGAAAGGAATTTTGTAAGGATTTATCATGCTCCTCTCACGCCTTCACTTTGAGTTATATAAACAAGTCGTTTCATAAGCATGAAAGCAGCCTAAAAAGTGAACCTCGTGGTGGTTGATACTGTATAACCAGTCGCTTATATTTGCCAGGTGGATGTGAAATGTCTGCGTCAGAGACTGCTCTCTGTGTCCGTCTGAGAGTGTGTGCTATCCTTGACTGACGTGGATGGTGTTTGCTTAACCTCTCCTGCGTTGCACTAGCACGGCCTTGTCAATTTGTGTGTGCGTGCGCGCGCGGGAGAGAGAAAGGGAGAGCGAGTTAGAGAGTCCAGCAATGGTAGCTTTCATTTCTCATGTCCCCAGCAGTATTTGTTTTTAAACAAACCTGCTGAGAGGCAGGGTGAGAGATATCGAGGGGTCTGAATCAACACAAATTATGGATATCTTTCTTCTTTTTTTTTTTTGCAGAACTCAAATAAATAAAATAGGTTAAACAACATCCATTGATAAATGTGTTCTGAAGCATGTATTAAATTCCTTTTTTTACACTCAAAAAGTCCAGTCTTTTTACTTTTCCACCTTTCCAACTATTTATAACAGTGAGGTGGAATATGTCCGACAGGGTCTCATGTTATTGCAAAGATGAGGTGTGCATGTGTGTAATCGTCTCATGCCTCTTGCATTATCCAAACGATAAGGCTGTAATTTATGTAACAGCTAAGCCTTTTCATATTGTGTACGTTGTACCTTACGAGAGCATGATGAGCAGGCTAGATTAATATTTATTTAGCACAGGCAAATCAAGGATTAAGCAGTCATCATTTTAGCGGTAATCCGTGTCTCTGGTGAGATGCAGAGACAAAGAGATGCAGATTACAATACACATAACACCATCAAAACCGCAATTAGTTGAGGACTCTCTTTGCATATTTGTGCAGACGAGGAGATGGACAGTAGGTGTACACATTCACATAAGTTGTGTTTTACTTTCCCACAAATCTATTGTTGTCCACGGCGTCCCTGACTTTGAACATCTCATTCTCACTGTCAGCCTCTCTTCACAAGAGTCTCTCTCTCGGAAATTAGTGATGGTTTGTCTGATTCATTCAACTGACGTAAATGTGTCTCATGATCTTTCCACTGTCCTTACAGAGTCGAACCACACAGACACACACACACACACACAGTGACTGCTACACATGCATGAGCAATGAACACTTCTTTCTTACCTTCAATAACATGGGATTGGGTCAACACGCTCAGATCTAGTGTGCTCATTAACAGCAGTCTGAGAGATTTGAGTTACTTGGAAGTGTGCAGATAGAAGTGATTTTTTGTTTTTTGTTTTTATAATTTTTGCTAATTGGGATAAACTGTTTTGCAAGAGAACAATAGATGAAAGCTCCCAGTGTTGTTTTGTGTCTGATGTGATGACTTTGCGTGCATGTAGGTGAGAGCGACTGCGGTCACAGAGAAGAGAAATTGATTATGTACAATGGTGATCCTGCATTTTCCACAACAGTGTGATGTGAATAGAGCGTCTGACTTACCTTTGCTGAACTACTAACAGCTGGAACAAAAATTATGCATGCGATATGGGTCATTATGAGAACTGGGGGCAGAGAGGTTTGAACCAGATGTGAGAGAGAAACGAGTGAAAGAAGAGATAAAAAAGCCCTGCTGTGATAGAGGAAGACAGGCAGAAGCTCCAAAAGACAGAATGCCATCCTCAGTTCCCCTTTGCCCTCCTTACTCTCTCCTCTCACCCAGCTTCTGAATGCTAATAGCTTTTTCTGTTTCACCCCCACCCAACAAACACATATATACACACATATGCCCCCCCACCCATTCAATCCTTCCCCATGGACACTGCTGCATTGTTTGTGGCAGTGCTTCTATTCTTTCAAACTTAATTACCTTCTTGCCTTTTGTGGCGGCAGGGGCTGGAAGTTTTGCTCCGTGGCAGTGGAGGTCGTCACACATTCTTTAGCGGTGCATTCCCTTAATCTTGCGGGTAGAGGTGGAGGGGGTAAAGAGAGAAAGGAGACATGTCCAGAAGAGGGGAGCTTTGCTTCCAAGGTGGTTATGGTACCCCCCTCCCATACACGTGTACGTACGCGTGCGTGGTTATAATAGTTGGGGCATAGGCTGCCCTTTGTTTGTGCGGTTCATTTCCAATCAACCCTAATTAACTAGAGAGTGTTTCCAGATTGCCAGCAAAAGAAAAATTCCCCTTTTTTTCACTCCCATTGGTCTTTGCTGTTTTGAGTTCGAGGAAAGAGACGGGGAAAAAAAACTGCCGGCATTAGCTATGTAGATTGGCTTTGCCTTTGATGCCAGAAAAATCTTTAGCAGGGGCAGTAAGTGGTGACTGTGACCCGCTGGTGTCTGAGTGTTTATTTTTATGTTTCAGTTTGAGTTTAGTTTAAATTATTGCCTCTTCACAGACATGAGACTTGAGCATATATTTAGACTGGACTGTGTAAGCACGGAGTCCATTTGTAAAATTTGGTAAATCCGGTCAAAGTTCTCTTTAATTCATTAAACTTAGCCATACAGGCAGCAGATAAACATTGGCACTGAGGGACGCCCCACATGTTAAGTGTCACAATAAAAACCTACCTAATGTAAATAAATGTAACTGGGTTGTTCAAGGAGGAGCTGGGAGACATGAGAGATGTTTTCACCTTATTTTCGATCTAGTCTTGTTTTTGTTTTTTTTTTACTTATATGGAGCTTGGGTGAAAACCTAAAACACTTTTCACAGCCCACTCATCTGGTCAACAGGTTTGTTTTTGCATACCTGACTATTTTTGTTCCCCACGATATTCTCATCACACACACATTACTTGTTATTTTCTAATTTACCGGGATATTATTTCCTTAAACAATGGCATATCAGGTACAGACTTCAGGGCAGTTGGGTTTAATGTTACCTGAGCAACAAACGAGAGCAATTAAGTTGTCATCAACCTGCAGGGAAAGAAGCTGCATTCCCGCTCTGGGAGAAGACAAAAAGGCCACTTCCATCCTGTACACTTCTCTTCATTACTTCCACCCACCCTGCCTGCCCCCAACCTCTGCCTCCTCCTCCTCTACCTCTAAACATTTCTTTCCATTCTTTAGCCTCTTCTCACAGACCAGTGCAATTGCTCATGTAGGCATAAGTCTGAGTTTGATTTGTTAAAAGGCATTTTTGCAGCGTGTGTAATTTGTCGAACAGGATTCCTGTGCTTAATGGAGTGGTGCTGGCTCTAGGTGTCTGGGCTGCACCTTGCAGTAATGATAAGGTGTCTTGTGGTAATGAAGGCCTTTGCCTGCAAGGAGACACAAGGAAGAGGACAGACGGTCAGAAAACACCATGTAGGGCAGGAGTGCGTGTGACGTATAACCTAACACCTCTGGGCTACAAACAAGGGCTGCATTAAAACTTGTTGCGCTGTTGAGTTGTGAAGTAGACAAAAATATTGTCGGTCACGCACGCTATCATTCCTTCACTAGTCTTTTAGCAATTTTCTCCTCTTTTCTCCCAAGACTGCAAACAGAGCGTTAGCTGTTGCAGTACAAACATGGATTAGCACCGTGTTCTTTTGGCTCACACTGCAAGGGAAAGACGGTTTCTTCTCCCTTCTTCATCCATTTTCCTTTTCGATTCCTCAGTTTCTGCATGGCAACAAATAAACAGGTCTAATTAGACCGGAGTAGACCTATTCATGGCACTGACACTGGGAGATGGATGCACAGGCTTTCACAGAGCCCTTCGCCTTTGTCTTTGGCTAACGCTCGGTGACATTTTGATAGAAGATTTGGTGTTAGACTGAGGGGCCACATGCAGAGAGAGGGATGACCTTCTCGGAGACCTTAAGGGATGGACATTTAGTCGCTGACTTTGTGGTTTGACTTTCCCTGGATTTACAGGTTCCCTTGAAGATTTAGTCAGGACTTAATTTAACCTCCTGTTACATGTGTTTTCAACAAGTTTTTGGAAAATGAGAATTTTAGATCTTTGAGGACCACATCCCACAGGACCAGCTGTCGGAATCCAGTGTTTAATGAGGTAATGAATACTTTGATAGTGACAGTGAAGAATTCAGACAGCAAATTTAGTTGTAAATAAAGGTATTCGTAGTACAGATGTTTGAATGTACGCAAAAGTAAATCAGCTTAGACACAATATCTGAAAAATTGCAAATGTTCTTATTTACTCTTGTCTCAGAGTTAAGAGTGCAGGGAAAGAAAGGACGTGACAAATAAGAAATAAATGCACAGATCGCTTACTTAAGACTTCTTCCCTGTCACTCTGGAAGCTAAGGAAAATGGATGGATGGATATGGAGAATAGAGGAGAGGATTGGGGGGGCAATAGGCCAAGGAGACTCTCAGCTCCTCTCTGCCATCAGAACTAGCAATGTCCAAAAGCAAGCATTCCTGGTCTATTATTTGCTCCGCACTGAATCTGATCTGCCACTTTAATTACCTTTGTATGTCTGCCTGTGTGTGTTTGTGTGTGTGCGCGTTTGAGTATTAGACAGACACAGAGAGAGGTAGAGAGAGAGAGAGAGAGAGAGAGTGTGTCCATGTGCATGCTTGTGAAAGCAAGAGGACATGCTTAATTAAAAAACAGAGGTGGGAGCGGCTCTGGCCATATCTTTTGTTCTTCTAAAATAAAAGAAGAGAAAAGCAAGGCTTCATTGTTAGTTTATTTCCCTTTCTCTTTCTCTCTATCTCGTTTTCTCTCCCTCTCTCATTGGATCTAGTCTTTTGGTTGGTTAGCAGAGCACAAGGAAACCAGTGGGGGAGAGTGAGCGAGAGGAAGGTTTCTTAGCGAGAGGTAACACAATCTGCCTTGAAAGAAGCAGTAGTGGGCACCGCTGCTGTGAAAGGTGTGAAGCCTAAAGAATGAAGCGAAACAAAAAGGAGCGAGCAGCATAACCTTTGCACGTATTTACACTCGAGACAAAATGTCACGTAATCAGCTTTAATGTAGCGCATAACAAGATACTGTTGGGATCTTCGCAAAATGTAATCTCTGTGTCTAAATGGCACTTTGACCTCAGTCATGTAGAAGGGAATATATTACAGAAGTTAGTTTTGTCTAACAATAAGTTTTCTGTGACCGTGCTAAAACATTGAGAATTGGTTAGGATATTTTTTCAAATAAGAATTGCTAAGAAATTAACTGGCAAAACAACTGTATAAAACATTGGGCATACATATGTAGTTACATATGTATGCCTGTGTTCTATTGATAGAAACCAAATTAACATTAAGGACAACCCAAGATAGCAAATTAATGGACATGCTAATGTGTTATTTTTCAGCACACATGTAAACAGCAGCTAACCTGTTCACATTAAAGCTGATGTATCAGTGCCAAGTACTTAACACGTTGGCTTATCCATAAGACATAATTCTGTACTTAAAGTGTTAGGAGATGCATAATTCATAAACTTCAGTGTTTTATGTCCGTGCTACAATTCAAAGGAGTTGCTCCCAAATGAAATGAGCAGTCATTGACACCACTGACAAGTAGTAAATCCTGTCGGATGCATCGCATTAGCCCCTAAAACCCGCTTCTTCGGAACAGTTTTACCCTCAATCACATTTAACACAACCCATGGCAAGAGATACACTGCTGGAGAAGTTGAATAAAATAAAATGGGAAATATTAGACAGCAGGAGTACACACTGTGCTGCTATGGTGCAGAGCCTAATGGATTATTTATGGTAAACATCATGGAGCTGTAATTTGAACAGATGATGCGCAATTCTACGCACACATACACACACACACATATGTATATATGTACATAGTTCTTTAAATGCAAAATACAGATTAATCTCACGTTCTATCTGATACCGCTGCAGCTTTGTATACACAATGAAGAGATACATTTGTGGGGCATTATTAATTCCATGCATACTTGCAGTGTGACACACATTTGACCCGCTTCACCTCCACGCTTGTTCAGAATGCAGAGCTAATTGCTGCTAATTTCTTTGCAAGTAGGAGTTAACATGTAGAGGAGCGACTACAGGTCTCCCTTTGTGTGTGAAATACCTAGTATTTTTTTAATGATAATATATTTAGGGACAACTACCTCTACTGAGCTATCCTTCATGTAATTGCAAGGACAGCAAACTATAGACACTGGTCACAGATTAAACAGTGTGTTGTGTAAAGATTTACAGAATCTGAATCAGGAATGGCAAATACATAAATAAATAAAAAACATGATTTTTCTCTTTTAATCTACGACTTGTCCCCATGGAATCATCTCGGATATACCAGATTAGATGTGATTAAATCTCGTGCAGAAAACACGCACCCACAAACATTTGATTTCATTCCTCACGCTTTCACTGTCCCTCCCACAAGCTTTTGTTTAGCCCTGGATTGTTGCGGATTAATCCTCTAATTGCTTTGTAGCTTTGTTGTGATGGAGAGGGAGTGTAGAGAAAAAGAGGCAGAATTAAGCAGCAGGTGGATTGGGCTAAAGGTTAACATGGCTTTTTAAACCTTCCTTTTAATACCATCTCATCTTTTGCACGCAAACATCAGGTGATGGGACTGTATCAAGCAAAAAGACATGGACAAGAACTAGTTTAGTTTAGTTCAGTACTTCTAGTTTGGTAGTTGTGGTGGGGAATGTTTTGTGTGTGTGTGTATGTGTGTGTGTACTCTTTACATTTAAGCCTTGTTGTGAAAAGCCTAGAGATTGAAGCAGTGAGGGGAAAAGAGATGGGCAATCACCCAGGATTGATAACATCTCACTGGTATTCCAAACATCATTTCTCGTGGAAGCTCTCTTCTTCTCTTGCCCTCATTTTCTCTCTTCGACTTTTAATGTATGTCTTTTCTGTGTTTTCTCTGCGTGAAAACCCCCCAAAACATTTAATTTAATTGAAATATTCTTTATTTATTTTTATTTCCCAATGTATTCCCACATGTAATGAAAATTTGCTAACGGGCAAATTACTTTTCCACACACTCAAGTGCAGCCACACAGTTTGCAGGGATGACAATATTCAGTCGTACCTTTGGGGTATTAATAGGTTAATAAGTGCTGCCTAATTGGAAACTCCTGACTGGGAAGACCAAGCCAATGATTGAGGACTTCCATAATGCTGTTCCACTTTTGGTCCTGAAGGGACACACCTTTACAGCCTTCCTGTGTTTACTGAGCTGTTGATTAATCCTGATTGTTAGTTATTTTAACTCACTGTTTCAACCCTTTTAAATATTCCTTAACGTCAGCCCTGGGATATGGACTGTTCACATCAGCTGTTGAGAACATAACACCCAAAAGCTGTTTTAAAGGAAATATTTTGTGGAAGTGGGATTACTTTTACATTTTTAAATAATAAAAAAAAGAAATTTAAGAAAAAGGTTTAAAAGATATTAAGATAATTTTAAATTAACTGACATACAGTCATTTGCATCTAATATTAGATTTCTAACTGTCAGAAAATGGGGGCATATCTGGATAATTTAGGCAAGATTAATAAAAGAAACACACAAGGTAATTTTTTGGTATTCAAAGAAATAATTCAAGGATTAGGCCTGAGTGATACCTGTATCCTTATGCTGAAAATAAGGCTGCCAAAGTTTGTCACTGTTTTTTTACTGGAGACAAAATAAACTGAGACAGTAATGTTAGCGAAACATGACCTTTACCCTTTCAGCTCCAGAACAGTTAACAGTCGTCTGTGAGAAAAAGAAGCTATGAAATTCTGGACAACTGCTCCTGTATATGTATATTTTTAGTCGTACTAGTACTTTTCCAAATGACAAAACTTACCATTTGAATTACCATCTGAATTCTGTATACTTACCATTTGAATTACCATCTGAATTGCTATTTACTGCTAAAATATGAGATTATCATTAACACAAATGTATAGCTGAGGTGAAGCTGCTCCCATCCTCTAGTGTGGCAAAGTGGAATTTCAAGCTCCTACTACCATGGGCTATGCTTCATTCATTTATGCCTTATTTTCCCCATTTTCATGTTCTGGTCCCTGGGGTCAGCAGAAGACAGACTGTTTTTAACTAATTCGTTTTTTTTTTTGTGACTCTTACAAGTCATTCATTGATTTATAAAACCTTGATGTAAGTAGGAGGAAGTGTATAACTTTGAATTTCCTCATTGTTAAGTTGCCTTTCCAAAGCACTTTTTCTTACTCTGTGTCCCTTGTGTAATTTTTATTGTTTTGTTGTATTTTATCCAACCAAACGTGGGTTGGGATGGTACTGCCTAAATTATGATAGACGCCATTAAGACATTTTGAAATTACTGGATTTGATTTCTGAAGGATTATGTCGGGAAAACATTCTGGCCTCCATAAATGTAGAATAACTCTTGTTAATAACTCATACTCAAAGACAACATCTGCCTCCTGGCCTGGATACAAACATTCCCAATGTCTATTGTTAAACCAAACATGTGTGAAAAACAACTTGTGTTCATGAAGATAAATAATTGTTTTGGAAATGTTGGAATTAATTACATTAATCTAATTGTTCATTCATAAGTTGCTTTTGGCATTTACTAAATCATTGTAATGTTTTTTCTTTTTTTTTCTCAACCCAGGTCCCTGTTAGGCTGGATGAGATGAGATCCCCATGTAGTGGTCGTCATGGCAACTTGTGACTCCCCCCCTATGGTGTCCTCACGGCAGCAGGAACATGGTGGACAGAGGCTGGACGCTGCTGCTGAGGACAACTCCGTCATTGCCATGGAGACCAGTGTCGCCAACAGCAACAATGCCAACAACAACCAATCATCACCTGCTGCCATTAGAGAGCCGGAGAATGGCCTTGGACAGCCTGTTGTGAGCCCGCTGACGTCCACTGCTACCCCCACCACTGTCACTACAACCACCGACCTTGTACCTGAACAGGGTCGGAGAGAAAGCTTTACTACCAGTAACAAAGTGAATGTTGCTGGGACTTTACCGGGAGTAGGAGGAGGAGCAGTTTTGGGTTCTGACTGTTCAGCCCCAGCCACGTCGCCTGTGGCGCCGGCAAAAGAGATCCCTTGCAACGAATGTTCTAATTCCTTCTCCAGTTTACAAAAATACATGGAGCACCACTGCCCCAATGCTCGCCTGCCTACCACTGGAGGTAATGAGGAGAGTGAGGAGATGGAAGGCATGGTAGGGGAGGAGAGTGAAGATGAAGGGGATCATGAAGTGAGTGCTGCAGAGATGGAGGAGATGACCAGTGAGGTTGAAATGGAAGAGGAGAGCGATGTGGAGCAGCTTTGTGGTGAGATCATTTACCAGCCTGATGGCTCTGCCTTCATCCTGGAGGACTCCAAAGAGCAGCATGGCAACCAAGGGGGGCTCCCTGCAGCTTTCCAGTTCAGGGGCCTGCTGTCCCCCCACACCTTCCCCAGTGTCCAGGCCAGCAGTGGTCAGAGAGGCCTGAGCCCAGGGGGAGAGCGGACGGAGCAGCCTGCTGCACCCATGTCCTTCTACCCACAGATCATTAACACCTTCCACATCGCCTCATCCCTGGGGAGTAAACCCCTAGTGGCTGACCACCCCTCCTTCCCAAATACCTCAGTTGGAGGGCTGGCAGGCACTAGTCCTGTGTTGCACAGTTTCCGTGTCTATGACCTCCGCCACAAGAATGACAAAGACTATCTTACAGCGGATGGTGCAGCCAAAAACTCCTGTGTGTCCAAAGATGTCCCTAACAATGTGGACTTGTCCAAGTTTGAGGGCTGCGTGGCTGATGGGCGGCGGAAGCCTGTGCTGATGTGTTTCTTGTGCAAGCTGTCTTTTGGCTACAGCCGTTCCTTCGTGACACACGCTGTCCATGACCACCGTATGACCCTGAATGAGCAGGAGCAGAAACTGCTGAGCAACAAGTATGTCTCTGCCATCATCCAGGGCATCGGCAAGGACAAAGAACCTCTTATAAGCTTTTTGGAACCAAAAAAACCCCCCAACTCTGTGCTACCCCACTTTCCCACACCTGCCAACTTCCTAGGGCCGGACACGGGCCTTCGCGGATTGTGGAATGCTTTCCACAGTAGTGGGGAGAATGCAGATTCCCTTCAAGCAGGATTTGCCTTCCTGAAGGGCAGTGCCAGCAGCTCCTCCAATGACCAAACTCCTAGAACACAAACCATGCCAAAGGCTGAGACCAACCCAAACCTCGGGGGAGGGGCTGGTGCCCTCAGAACCCCCAGCAGGAGTTCTGCTGCTGCTGCCGCTGGTGGTAAACTGGAAGGTCAGAACTCTGATACTGACTGTAAAGGCCGTGTTAGGGATACATGCACTTTGCAACCCAATGGGCCGGACCTGAGCCAGTACCCACCTATCAAGCGGGAGCCCGGTGTAGTAGGAGGAGAGAGTCCTGAGCAAGATGAGGATGCCTACTTCAATGGTGGTGGAGTAGACATGGAGGCAGAAGAGGAGGAGGAACAGGCCTTTTCCCTGGCTATGACAGGCCAGCGGGCTGACAGCACCAGTAGCAAAGATTTCCCTCTCTTAAACCAAAGTATTTCCCCCCTTTCCAACAGTGTGCTTAAGTTTAACAGTGATAGCAAAGGCCCTGCCTCCACTTCCTCTTCCACACATCCTATGTTTGAGAAGCTGGAGATGGAAAAGAACCGCATGTCCACTGCCCTGGCAGCTGCCAGAGAGCGGGAGAGCAGCAGTGATTCAACCAGTGAAGCCCTGGGAGGACGGGATGGATCATCACCCTCCTCTCACCCTCTTGACATGATTTTGCGCAGAGATGACGAAAGTCCTGGACCTTTGCATCAGCATGCAGGAAATCCAGGTACACCTGGGACTCCAGGCACACCTGGTACACCTGGTCCAGGTGAGGGGTCACCAGGTAGTGGGGTAGAGTGCCCAAAGTGTGACACTGTCTTGGGATCCTCACGGTCTTTGGGAGGGCATATGACAATGATGCATTCCCGTAACTCCTGCAAGACACTGAAGTGTCCAAAGTGTAACTGGCACTACAAGTACCAGCAGACGCTGGACGCTCACATGAAGGAGAAACATCCAGAGTCTGGTGGATCGTGTGTGTACTGCCGCACCGGACAGCCTCATCCTCGTTTGGCCAGGGGCGAAAGCTACACCTGTGGATACAAGCCTTTCCGCTGTGAGGTCTGTCCATCTGATTTGTTTTCCTTTATTGCTTAATTGTGATTTATTTAATAATGAAAAAAAGGTTTTACTTTTAATGCTGATTGTTGAATGTTTGTGTATTTGCTCCTTGTTTTAGCAACTTCTGTCACAGAGTACATTCTCAGTTAAACCTCTTTCTTAAAAATGCACATTACCTCCACCGCTAATCGGTGCTAACTCTCATCCTGTAGGTATGCAACTACTCAACCACCACCAAAGGCAACCTTAGCATCCACATGCAGTCAGACAAACATCTGAACAACGTACAAACGCTTCAGAACGGTGGAACGGAACCCCAGTACAACCACAACCATGCCAGTACTGTGCCCAGTGCCAGCCTTGGTGGTGGCTGCAGCGCTCCATCGCCATCTAAACCCAAACAGAAGCCCACTTGGCGCTGTGAGGTAATGAAACAAAAGAGGCTGTGGTAGAATAAAAATTGACGTGTTGTTTAATTCACACAGTGAGCCACTTGTATTATATATTTATACCAACAATATATAATTATATATGCTCAAAGGCTTCACAGATGCATCACGAGATTACCAGTATTAATGTTTATATAATACTAATTAATTTACTGAGGTAGATTTTATGTCAAATGATTCTATAATGTATTCATTTAATAATAAACTGTATGTTGCATTTATAGGTCTGTGACTATGAGACCAACGTGGCAAGGAACTTGAGAATTCACATGACCAGTGAAAAGCACATGCACAACATGATGCTCCTGCAGCAGAACATGAAGCAGATCCAACACAGCCTCCACCTGGGCCTGGCTCCGGCCGAGGCAGAGCTTTACCAGTACTACCTGGCTCAAAACATGGGCCTGGCAGGTGTAAAACTGGAGAACCCAACTGGGAGTGGTGGCCCAGAAGCCCAGATGATGATTAACCCATTCCAGCTAGACCCTGCAACTGCAGCTGCTCTGGGATCAGGTCTAGGTAAGAGACACTGAAAACGAAACAGGGAACATGGTTAGATATTTTTTGATCATTTACACACGTTAGTCAATTAAAACAACGTTAAAAAAAACAAACAAACAATAGAAAGTCTCTCCTGCTGTGGATTTGACAGTTCAGTTCATACATTCCTTTATAGCATTGTTGGCCCCAAGCTTTTTTTGCTTTTTTCTGCTCATCATTCACCCAGAAACTTCTATCTGTTTTATCACATTTATCTGGGTGTTGTTTTTATCTTTGGGCCTTTTCTTCCCTGCTCGTCATTTTTCTCCCTGCCCTCTCACCTTTCTTTTTTTCTTCCCGAACTCATTTGCCTCACCCCCTCCTCTTGTGCTCTCTCTTTTTTCTTTTTTTCTTTCTCTTTACCTCTTATCTCTCCTCTCATATTGTCCCTCTGTCATTGTCTCCTTTCTTTGACCCCTTTCACTGATTGAAAAATGATTATGAGAAGCCCCATGAGAATTATTCTTAATCTTTCATTTGTAATTTTCTTAAGTCAGCTTAATCCTTCCATCACGCACACACAGACACACACACAGACACACACACAGAGTAACGCATCAGCCTACCTACCTTCACTCATCCTGGAGTGACATCCACACACACACATACACACTCTCTTACACAGCAGGAAGCAGATTCCCGTAGGAGTGAGGGAGATTTAACAATGAGCCTGCAGTGTTACAGACCCTTTCTCTTCTCTAGTGTGGAGGTCACAGCCCAGCCGGCAGATGTACTCACAGTGAATTACACCAGTAACACACTGCTCCCCATAGTGAGTGCAGCTGTACATGGGTTTGAACGGTTGCTGGCAGAGTATTCACACAGTATATACAAATACCCAGCGTACATGCACAAAATTCAAGCATAGAAATAGCTGCTGGTGTCTAAAGACAGTGTTGAAAAAAACCCCAACTCATTTGGTTTAGCCTCTAATCATTCTTACTATTCGTAAAGGACACGCACACAGAGACAATATAGGGATCAAGCAGAGGTGTTAATTACATTTGTTTGAAAAGCAGATCCGTTTTTTTTTTCCTTTTTTTGTTCTGACTGGATGGACAGAAGAAAAAGAAAACCTGTGTAGTGCATTGATCAGCTTTTGAAATCCATGTGCCGACGTGAGAAAAGCCTGTGGCTCTCCAACCGACGTCCCATCATTGCCGAGAGCAGTAATTAAAGCTACCTGATGAGCGAGTTAGCAAGTTGAAAAGGATGATTGTAATTGATCTTGATTCAATCCTATTAGGGTTTTTATAGACAAGACTTTGTGTGGAGCCATAGTCCTCTGCGAGGCTTTATTTTATCAAATCTCTTTGTGTAAGGGAGGCTTGCATAGAAGACTCACTTTTTTCTCTCCACACTTAATTTCATTTAATAAAAAGAGCTTCTGTCTCTTTCTTCCGCCTCTTATCCTTCTACATACATGTGAGCCTTTTCTTTTCACCCCAGCATTGTCCTCCTGTCATACTCTTCTTTGTTTTTTATGTACCATTCTTCCTGCAGAGCTCACTGTCTCCCTCCCTGTCTGACATGTTATCCCTTCGTGCTTCCATTTGTTTAATTCATCTGGAGGCACGACCATTTACACTCTCTTTTGTCTCCATTTTTTTTCTATTGTCTAACATGATTTTTGCTCATTTTTCCACCCACAGTGAATAGTGACCTGTCTGCAGAGCTGCGTCTTGCCACTGGTCAGCTGATGGCAGATGATCTGTCCCTGGTATCTGCCGGTGGATTGGGGGGCATGTCCTCGTCAGACCCCTCCCTGTCCTCCTTGTCGCCACCCATCAACGACCCCACGATGCGCCTCTACCAGTGCTCTGTGTGCAACTGCTACACCACGGACAGCCTGGAGGCTCTGAACGCCCATGTCAACGCAGAGCGCTCTTTGCCCGAAGAGGAGTGGCGCTGCGTGGTGGGTGACGTGTACCAGTGCAAGCTCTGCAGCTACAACACGCAGCTGAAGGCCAACTTTCAGCTGCACTGCAAGACAGACAAGCACATGCAGAAGCACCAGCTGGTGGCTCACATCAAGGAGGGGGGCAAAGCCAACCAGTGGAGATTAAAGTGCGTGGCCATTGGCAACCCTGTGCACCTCAAGTGCAACGCCTGCGACTACTACAGCAACAGCGTGGATAAACTGAGGCTACATGCTACCAACCAGAGGCACGAAGCTGCCATCCGCCTCTACAAGGTAAAGATATGTTTAACATAGTTGGTGTCCTGCAGAAGAATTATATTTGTTTTTAATAAAATTACATATATTATTAAAAAAAGGAATTAAAAAAAAGTATTATTTTAAAAAGAAATTAAGAGAGACAATTAGAAACTATTTGGATATCTACTCTTTTGCAGGACAGTAACAAAACAACTTTTTACATCACAGTACATAACACATCTTTACAAGAGTTTACAAAAAGCCTATTTCCAGGGAATTTCGTTTTTTAAATGCATTATGAATTAAAAAACTTAATTAATTCTTTTTTCAATCATTTGTATTTGTTAAAATTGATTAATTAATACCTTCAACACAGCTTAGTGTATCACTCATATGAACTTTTCTGTATTTGAACATCATTTTAATTCAGCACACAGTTTTCAGCCCTGACCTACACTTTAATGAAAATACAGAACCCCTGGTGGATGTTCTCTTTGTACTAACAATAATATAAACAGTCAACACTGTAATGAAACAAGTCAACACACAATGTTACTCAGATGACCTTTTTGCCATACTTTGGTTAAACTTTTTTTGGAGGTTGTGTCAGACCTTACTTTGTTTGTTGCGTGTTAAATAGTTTTTAATTATAACAAAAAAACGAACTGGTCAAATCCCATGAATTAACAAGGATAAGATTCCATTTATCAGGAAAACAGGATTCATTCTGTACGTCACATGGATTAAAAAGTTCCCATAAAAACTCAGAGACAGAGACAGATAAGGCTCCAGGATAGTAATCAGTTTCATGGTCAAATGATCTATTTCCCATCTATGACACTATTAGTGTGTCTTTTCAGCTTGTTCTGAAGACTGTAAATAATTCTGGAATAATTTGAGAAGGTTTCCTGGAAAAGGGACTAGATGCATAATAAGAGCTTAGACTTTCATTGAGCGGTGACTCAGTAGAGCAGGATGTGACCACACTGTAATAACATTCCTTTTGATATCTAATCATGGTACGGTGGAGGAAAAACAGTCATGATATTATTCAATATTTTAATAAAAGTAATTACTCTTTCTAAATTTTACAAAACTAAACTGTTCAATGAAAATCATCGGGATTTCAGAGCACAAATATTTATTTATGTACTCATTAATGTTCACATCTGCATTTTGTTTGGGTAGACAAACAGTTGCATATTTTTCAGGTCGGTAGTTGTCACAGGTTTTTCTTTGGAAATATTTAGTCATGACTTGTCATCAGATGCCGCACCAGTTGCTCATCGCGGCAGCGTAATAACATGCGAGTCACTTACTTAACTAATGAAATGCTTCACACTCGTTTTTCTGCAAGGAAATTCCAACAAGGCCGACATTTGGCATCTCCTTTTCCTCCAGTATATTTACTGTGATTTAGTTTGTCAGACATCTCCTTCAGCTTAATAGGATGCTGTTACATTTCCAGGGCCTTGACCTACAGGACAGGATCAAGTGCATTACATTAATGAGGATTTCTTTACTACTCTATGCAATATTTGGTGGCAGTGATAGGTGTTTGTGTGTGTGTTTGTGTGTGTGTGTGTGTGTGTGTGTGTGTGTGTGTGTGTGTGTGTGTGTGTGTGTGTGTGTGTGTGTGTGTGTGTGTGTCAGTGTGCCTCTCTAAGCCTTGGCAGTATAAATTAAAATAGGAAAATTAATTAAGTTTCTTTTTTTTCTCTGCAGTATACCTTCTACCTTGTAATATTTTATTCCTGAATTAATATACGCAATTTTGTATTGTAAGCTCTTTTCTCAATTTTTTCCAACTTTTTAACTACAAAAAAAGTTTGTCTGTGTTTGACATGAGATTAATTGCTTAGGAGCTACCACAAAGATTTGGGTTGAAATTTGTATTTGCAAAATTAAATTTACAGACAGAGTCATGTTCTACTGCTCCAGAAGACTCCAGTCAATCCCTTTCAATTTTCTCCTGTGACTGCGTTGTCTGCACCACAACTGTAGGCCCTAAAGGAGGAAAATCTATTTCAAAAACTTGTGACTAATTCTTGCTGTTCGGATGCATGTCTGTGTTAAGCACACTGGTGTTT